ACTTGTCAATCAAGCAACATATTAAATGAAGATGCCGTTGAGTTCTTGATAAACTTTAATGTTTTATTCATTTTAATTTATAAGACATTTTTAAAAATGATTTGATATTTTAAAATATGAGACATTCTAAGAAAAGTAAGGTTTCAAAAATTATAATTGTCCAATATTATCTTTATCTCCTTATCATACTCTCTCTCTCTCTCTCTCTCTCTCTAATGTTTCACAAATAATGTTATATCAAAAGAAGAATATTTTTAAAGATTTATATTTATGTATTTTTAAAAAATAAGAATATAAAGTGTGTTTAATAAACTCTATTAATATACATAATTTAGACAAAAAAGTATCTTATAATCTGTGACATAAGGAGTCATTTTTTAGCCAATATCAAAAATAAAAGAAGCCTTATAGCTAGACATTAAAAGATAGATTTTGAATATATAAAGCTAAAGATATGTCTAATCAAACTGTTCAAGTTATTACGGTGAAGTAGATTATTTTTAAACATACTTAAAAGAGAGAATTTAACAGCAAACAGTCATAAACTACAAAATTTAAAGAATCAAAATCCGCGGGATGTTACTGTGGAAAAAAAGTACTGTTAGTTAAAATCCGTTTCAGTCCCAATAGGATTTGAATGAAAAATAATAATAATAAAGAAGTAAACTAGCACGCGCACTGTGAAGCAGATGGCTTGTGAACAGATCACAACTTTAATGGCAAAATTTATTAAAAAAAAAAAACAAAAGCAGCTGGGAAGTTTGAAGGCGAATGGCTTGGTTGAAAAGAAAGCGAAGTTGGAGGGCACTGAGTTGTCAAGTGAGGACGTGTGCGCTGAATTAGAAAAACATGCAGCAAACCACAATGGCGGCTCAACGTTCAATTTCCCTTCATTTCAATTTCAGACACTCATTTTGACTTTAATGCCCTCCCCCACATATTCCCATTTTCAATCTCATACTTTCTCTGTTCCAATTTGTAAGCTATTGATAGTTTTTTTTTTTTTAGTTATTGATAGTTTTTTTTGGTTACTGGAACCAATCGACTCTGTCAAAAAATTCAAAACAAAAATTACATTTAAGTCTCACAAAAAAATATTTATTTTTGAAAAATCTCGTAAATTTTATAAAATACTTTCAAATTTCAAATCATGTGCATTGACACTTTGATTAAGAATATGAATAATTAGGCAATGACCATTTATAATTTATAAAGAAAAATGATAATTTATAATAGTAAGTTGTAAATGATCGTTGTTTAATTATCAATATCTTTAGTCAATTTATTAATGCGCAAGATTTGAAATTTGGAAGTATTTTATAAAATTTATGAGACCTTTCAATAATAAACTTCCTTCTATAGGATTTGAATGTAATTTTTCTAAAATTTAACATATAATAAGTTTTCAATTTTTGCTCATGTTAAATGTGTACATATTTTTTTAAAAAAATATTATGACATTAACTTTTCAATATTTAATAGAGGTAATAAAAGATAGAAATTGATATAATAATTATTAAAATGTCTTATAAATATACTCAAAATAAATACCCTTTTTTTATTTTATAAATAAGATAAGATGAGTACTTTGACTTCATTAACCTCCACCTCCAATTTTAATCACCACAATTTTAATTCTCATTCGTTCTCGCGCGCGCGCGAGTGTCTAGTTTTTGTTTCATAAGCCATTCATTCTAAAGGGTTTAGTATGGAATGATAGGCAACAGAACTTGACTTCTTTACGAAACTGTATATGTGTGTACATTTCTCTTCATATAGATGAAAAAGAGAGTGACATTATATTATAATTTTAAATTTAGATTTTGAATATGAAAATTTAAGTTTGATACTCTCTCCAAACTTATTTTAAAATCACTTTCAACATATTTCATTAAAATTAAAAAAAAATTTAACATTTATTAATTATGTTACAAAATTTAATATTTCCTCCATTTAAAAATATAAAACATTTTTAACTGAATCTCATCCCCTAATAAAATAGTTACCTACTTTAAAATTAATTTTATTGTTCTGTTTGATTGGGAAGAAAATATAAAAGGAAAGAAAGCATGGAGAGAAAACAAGAGAGAAGACAGATTTTTTTCTATTTGGATAGGGAAACAAAATAAAAGGAAAGAAAAAAATAGGAGGAAAATAGAGTGTAAAACTCACTATTTTTTCTTCCAACTTTTCTCTTCAAAAGTGAAAAGATTTTGGGAGTAAAACTTGTTTTCAACATCTGCCTCTCTCTCCCCCCCTCTTATTTATTTTGTGCTTTAATTCTCAAGAGGCTACTTAATTACATTAATTTAATTTTAATTAAATAGTTTGGTGTATAATTTTTAACTTCTATGATTATAAACTATATTAATTTAACTATTTAATTAAATAATTTAGCCATTGGCTAGATCAAGTGTCCAAAATTACATTAATTTAATTTAAATTATTTGATTTTAAAATATAATATAAAAATACATTTTTAACAAATAATTTAATTTTAAATTAATTTGATTATGTTAATTTTAATATAATTTTTTCTTTCAATTTATTTTCACAAATACAATTACATGAAATATAATATATTCTGATATAAGGGCATTATAGTCATTGTGATATCTTTTCATTTTTTTTCTCCTATTTTCTTCTGTCCATCCAAACAGGAGGAGTGATAGTATTTTCTTTTCAATTTTCTCTTCTCTTCATTTTTTTCTCTCATTTTCTTTTCTTTCAACTTTTCTTCCCATTCAAACGAAGGGTATATTTCCATATTTATATTTATTAAATACCTTACAATAAATATAAAGTCATTCATCAATAGGGGTACTTTTTTAAAAAAATAATAATTACATCTTGAAAGGCTAAAAATATCTTATATTTTTTAATATCCAACTCCTAAAAAAATATTTTGTATTTTTGAACGGAGGGAGTATAGGTTTTTAACTTTATCCTATCAAATATACATTAATTAATAGCATATTTTTCTCACTAACAACATTTAAATAAAGGTCAAAGAAAAAACTCATGATTAAAAAATTAATTACATGCTTTTTAAATAATATGATCAAAAGATTATTCTCTCTTTGCTTTATAAATAAGACTGGGAAGAGTAATTTATACCCTATACCCATTTAATATTATAAGGCATTTTTAATGTCTTCAACGAATTAGTTAATTATTTTTAAAATTACATACTCTTTTCATGTTTATTCTTATATTTTTTTAACATTTCAATCAACTTAAAAAATATTGACAATAAAAAATAAATGACAATTTTATTTCTTGAAATGATATAATTTCATTGAAATCTTCAGAGATCTCTGTATCAATAAATTTTAAATTGAAAATACTATCTTGCCTTTCTTAATAAGTTATAATTTCTTGTTTAATTATTGTGATTCTTTAAATAAAAATTATTATTTCTTAGGCAAAAGTTATGATTTTTTGTTCAACTCTTACTATTCATAAAATAAAAGTTATTATTTTCTAAGCAAAATTATTGAGACTTATTTTTCAAATAACAAAAATTACATTTGATAAATTGTGATTTCATGTTCAACTCTTGTAATTCAAAGAACAAAAAATGTTATTCATATTAAGCAAAATTTATGATTGGGGTTTGCTATTTTCAATAAGGATTAAAATATTTTTTCATTTTAAAATTTATTGACATAGAAGTCTCTAATTTTAATAAAATTATAATATTTTGAGAAATTAAATTATCATTTATATAATTCAGAGTGAATGATTTGTAAATATTGATCTCTAATTAAAAAAAAGCCAGATTAATGAAACAATAATTGCATGAAATAGACCACCTTGTTGATCTTGAACAAAACAAGACTAAAACCTTGCTCTGCGCGGTAAATTTCATGATGTTTAACTTTTCTCTTCAATTTTCCTTCTTAATTAATTCATAAACTATCAATGTAACTTTTTATGCATCTATAATCACACGCACACACTGACACATATATGAATAAATGATTTTCTCCCCAGTTGTATATACTTCAATTATTCGTGGTTTAATCAAAACACAATAAAAATTAGTTAAGCATGTGAAACTACATGATTCACAAGGAAAAGGAATCAAGAAGACTTGGGAATAATTGCAACATTTTGTCTAACAAAATATTTGAATATTGACAATGGACGCGTCACGTTGTGTGCTTATCTTATTCTTAATCATATTTCAATACACGGATTAGATGAGAATGAAATGCAAAATGAATTGTCAAATGATAAATAGATGTGAATCTATTTCGTTAGTCTTTACTTTAATCAAAATCAGAAAGATTTGTTAGAAAATAATAACAAAAACACATGATAAATAAGCATTCTCGATCTCCCCCTTGTTGCTTTCATACCAAACCTACTCGAGGAAGTCCAAAACAATAGAAGGTCATCACAGCCATTAATTTATTTATGTTCTTCTCAAAGGGGTTGGTTGAAATTATTACCTTGTAATGCAATTAATTAATTAATCAGCCCCGAAGATCAAAGCTTTGTCACCCAAAATGAAGCAACATTATATATATGTATTTATAACAAAATGTTAAAGTGAGTTGGGTTTGGAAGCTTATCAAGAAAAATCTTATAGATGTACTTCAAATTACCTATTAACAAAAACCTTATATTGAAGATTTATTTTCATGACTTTATGAATGATGGATTTGGATTTGTTAAGTAACCTAAATTAATGTATGTGTATACATACATACATACATACATATATTTCAACAATTCAAAACAACTTCCATGATAAAAACATTCAAAACACTCCTCATGTAAGTCCCCTCAAAAGATTTGAGTCAACATTTTTTAAGAATAATATAACAAAATCTCTAATATCCATTTAATTAAATCAAATGGTTGTTATTGTGTTACGTAAGACATTTATTAAGTGAGTAAATTTATGTCAATTATTAGATTCAAATTCATAAATTATAGACCAAATTCTTATTAATTAGATCAAGCTGCAACACTTTTTTCTCCTGAACTAATTCTTTCTATCAAATTATGTTACTAAAATATGAGAAGCCATTAACAAGGAACATCACAGAAACAAATCATTCTGCAATACTATTAGTCTTATTGTGATTTACAAAAAAGAATGCAATCTCTACTTGTATCTACCCTGTCAACTTACGAGCCCTTGCTTTTTCCCCTGTGGCATAAACTTGTGATGTTTTGGCAACACAATTTTGTCAATTACACACACAAGCTTAAGATTAAAACCTCTAAAATTAAAGCCATAAAAAAAAAAAGATCTAACAATCTCAATTAATGTGATCTCTTGAGGTTCTTGAAATCTGAATCTACACACTCCACGCCTGACCCGTATTGATTCAGAAGTTTGAGAAGCTCTGTTGCTTTCACCTTCGTTTCATCACCACAACCGATCTGCAACACTAACAGCAGCTTCTGAAATGCACCAACTTGCAGTGCCTCAATCACAACGTTTTGTCCTTCTTCTTCTTCTTCTTTGTCTTCTCCATTATTATTCTTGCACAGCTTCCATATGGCAGAAACAGAGCTATCTGTTGCCATTGCTGAAACTCTCAGTATCTTCTTCACCAACACAGGAATCGTCAAGGCGTTACCGTAAGCTTTTTCTCTGCCTTCCGCGGAAGAGCAGAGTGAGTCAAAAATTGCCAGAGCTTTCTCACAGAGGCTTCTTTCTGAGTCCAGAAGGATCTCCAGTAAAGAAGAGACCAATCCTAGTTGGATGAATCTCTGTTTCATCTTGTTGCTCGAGGAAGAAGATGATGAGACCAAATAGAAAACCACAGCTAATGAAGCTTTTGTGATGGTTGGACTCAGTCTTTTGGTGATAAATTCCACCAACAGTTCGTTGACTCCTTCAATATCTGCCAGAACATTCAAATGATCTTCATTTTCGAAAGAGAGAAGCTCTCTGAGAGCAACAATGGACTTCTCTTTCCCTGCGAGATCTTGATGCTTCAGAAACCAAACCATGCAACGTAACGAAGCTTGAGATCCCAAAGATTTCTGGGCTTCCATTTGAAGCGGGAACATCCAATTCAGAGCAGAAAGAATCTCTTCCAGAACACTCAGATTCTTCTCAACGGAATCATTCGCGAACGAATCAAAAGCAGAGGCCAGAGCACCTGTAGCTCCATTCTCAACCACACATTTCCTATTCCTCTCGCTCTCTTCACCCCATTTCTCCATTTTCTGAACCAATCCGAGACACCCATACTGATCCAAACGTCTCGCCGACGATGTCAAATGAAGAAGAAGCTCTGCGACTTCGATTGGAGAAATGGGAATTCTCGGGGTGGGGATCCTCTCGACCCCGTGCTGTCGATTCTCGACGCACCAGTCTTGAATCATTATGCGAAGAGTATGATTGGGAATGAGATCGAAGCTCCTGAGAACCTGATTGGTAACAGGGCAAGTGAAATTGCCGTCAAGGAACCACCTTTCGATGCTCTCACGGTCGTAGGTGATTCCGGTGGACAATGTGACGGGATCTTTCATCAAATCAAGCGAAATCGGACATCGGAAGTGGTTGGGAATGACGAGCTCGAGGTGGAGCTTGTCGTTCCGGCGACCTTTCTTTCTTCTTCGCCATCCCAGAACCATTTGTAGAGGCTGAAGGGAAAAGAAGACGGTGAAGGAAACAGTGAAAGTGAGGATTTTGATTTGAGAGTAAAGATTGATGGGAGAGAGATGACAGGAGAGAGATTTTATATAAGAGGTGAATGGAAAGAAGCAGAGAGTCAGTGCATTCATACGAAGGAGGTTCAAAGATTGGACTCAGAGAAGCGTTCAAACTGACGAGTATGATTATGATGACAGAGTTGTGATTGAAGAGAAAGAATGAAACGAAGCGGGTTTTGAATATTGACCAATCAGGTTTTGAAAAGCTTCAAATCTAAACCGTCAAAGGCAGCGAACAGGTAAAACCGAGTCTCCGGTCTTCCCCTTCTTCTCAAAACGGCAAAGTTCAATCGAACGAGTCCTTAGATCTTTTGTTTGTTGCTGTTTAATATTAGCAACTACTATTAAAGTTTACTCCTTCCGATCGGATCTTATTTATATACGTAGAGAGAATAATTTTTTTCCTATTCATAAGATATATTTTAATTTAATTTTTTTATTATAAGTTTTATCATTTACTTCATTGACTAAACAAACATGTTATTAAAGTATATATTTAATTAAAAAATTTAAAGTTTTAGTTAAAATTAATAAAATTTAAAATTTTTATTGATTATGATAAAATATATTAAAAATAATTTGAAAATATCCAATAGGACAGAGAATAAATGTACAAAAATTAGGATATGCTTCCATCCTAAATATATAAGACATAGTTGAGGGGTTTGCTTTAGTTGTTAGGAAAAATTAATCATTTAATTTGTTTGTAATTAAGTCTTTAAATTTTAACTAATTGTAATTTAATTCTTATATTTTTTGACTTGATTGCAATTCATTTTTTAAATTTTGACTTAGTACAACTCAATGTTTATAGTTTTAACTATTTAAAATATTGATAATAAAATTATAAAAACTAAAGTAATTTTGATACTTAGAGACTAATATTTTATGTTACTAAAACTATAGAAACTCAATTATAATAAGTTAAAATTTAAAAATTAAATTGTGCCAAGTTAAAACTATAACAATTGAATTATATTAAGTTAATATTTAAAAGTTGAATTGCAACTAAATCAAAATAAATCACATGACTTATTTTTTTTAGTTCTAAATATGAAATCACAATCTTATTTGCCCTTCATTTAATTTTTTTTCCCCACATGCATGACCATCATTAATTTTACAATTTAAAAAAAAAAGTCACACAAATTTTACATAATAATACTAACAAATAACCAACTTACTCAACGTTGCCACTTGCCATTCATCACTTAGACATAATGTGAATTGTTTTGAATTTTATATTGATATTAATATTAAATAAAGTATTATTATTCAGGGAGAATGATAATAAAATTCTAAAATAGAGAATTAATAACACCTCGATTCCCGGTAAATGTTTTTGAAAAACAAATTGCAAATATTAAATTAATATTTAGAATTTAAATTTAAATATTTTATTTATAATTGGGGCTCCTAAATTTAAAACTATTTAAATCAATATTTACTTTTTATTTTTAAAAAATTTTATTTAAAACTTATCTATAATTAATTCTCTATTTTGAAACTTCGATGTCATTATCCCTTATTGTTTATTCTAAAATGAAGACTATTTATAAGTTCTGGACATGTCTGACATTAAGGTCTTTTGATAAATAATATGTAAGTACTTCTGCAATTATTTTCTAACGTGTGAGCTTATTCTTCCTTCAATACTTAATTCATATAAATGTCATATTATTATTATTATTATTATTTCTTGAATGAAAAATCTCGTACCCTTTAAAAAATTGTCATGCGATCTATATTTTTTTTATCAACATAATTGAAAATTTTGACCTTATCATGAAAACTATTCATTAGACTCCTATAAGATATAGGGACCTAATAATATTCACAATGAAACATTTATTGTTTTATAATTATATTATAGTTTTAACATTACAATTTTGATTTTTGCCGTAATGTGAATGAAGTAGAGGGGGAAGTGAATAGGCGGCGGCTCGGCTCTAGGTGTAGGCGCGTGTAAAATCAGCTCCCTTCACGCACGTTTTCCTGGTTCCACCGGAATCACGCCTTACTCAAATTATATTTCTAAATAAATAATAAATATTTCATTTATTTTTCAAAGGAAAAAAAGAAAATATTATTTTTACCAATTTGATCATCGTGGAATCTCTCATTTTAATCTCACACGCAGATCAAAGGAAAAAAAACATTGACATCTTATATTGATAAAGTTATTCCCTTTGATCTTATTTATAATATAGAGAAAGAAGAATTTTTTAGATCTTATTTATGATGTTATTAATTTTTTATCATAAATTTTACCTTTAACCACTAATTAAATGTAGGTGAAAGAAAGTATCCCCTTTATCCCATTTTTATAAGACATTTCGTGAGTCATTTGATGTCGAAAAACATAAGAAGTTTTGGGGGAAAAAAAAGTTTTATTAATGATGATTATATCAATATTACTATCATTATTTCACTCCTTAAACAAATTCCTCCACTCTCTCTTATTAATGAAGGATATATTTGAAATTTTTTAAAAGAATTAAAATTGTAAGCTGCATTTAATGAATTTCATTATATTGATATATGTAATTTGACAAAAAAAATTATAAATTGTGACAGAAAGAGTATGTTACTTTCTCTATTTTAATTTATAAAATACTTTTAAAAATATTTGATATTAAAAAATACAAAATATGTTGATAAAAATAAAATTTTATTAATTATGCTTTAATAATAGCTATAGGGAAAATTTCATATAAAGCCCGCCCATGGAACATAATTTCTCTATCTATAAAGGCTTCAAATGCAATTATTTTTTAATGTAAAAAGATCAAACTATCATTAATGAGTGAGAATATATATGCTCAAAAGAAAATCAGTAACAAAATGTGCGTAGATAACCCAAAAAAAAAAAAAAACCTACTTACTTACTGGAAGAAGTTTGCTTATTTATAAGAGTACATGTGTATTCATATTTATATATTAAAAAACATGAACTATTGGGACCATCCTTGTAGTCATATATATCAAATTTGATTCTATTAATCTTTGGATTACAATTAAACCAAACTAAATTATGGGTTATTTAATCAAATCTTTTTTATAAAAAAATCAGATTTTGAATTATGTCAAAGTCTAGTCTTATTCAATTCTTTGTAACCCAAAAATTAACCAACAATGTATAGAATATATATGCATAAATTTTATCTGTCTCCCATCGATATTGTTTTGCTTGATTAATGTCATTTTGCTAGATCAAATAAATTTTGAAAAATCAAGCAAAATGATGATATTTGAGAGAGAAAGTGACACATGATAAGTCCAACACGTGAATTATAATAATAGCGACGTATATGACCTTCATGGATATCATTTACCAAGTTTTGGATGCTTTGTTTATGACTATGCATTATTTTAATTAAATAATAATTAATTAATTAATTAAATTAAAATATTTTATAACATAGATTAAAAGGATTAAAAGGTAATAAATCACTAATTTTTATATGATATATCTTATACCTAATATTACCAAGTCAGCTTTGAGTTTAATTAAATCTCAAACATGTCACTCCTACAAAAAAAAATTTGCTTGCAGGGAAAATTATTGCTAAGGATATGGAAAAATAATTTTTATTAAAAAAATTTAAAAATAAAAAATATTTAGAAGGACCAAATACCAAAATATAAATTTAAAATACAAAATTGGTCCAAATCAAATTTGTTATTTTTTTCCCTGTAACTACATTTCAAATTGAATTTGATAATCACTGGTAGTGGTAAATAAATAAATAAATAATCTTAAATTATATTGATTTAATTATTTGAAAAGTAATTATTTTAAAATTACATTCAATTAATTATTAAAATTTATTGATTTAATTAAACTTAATATTATTTTTTTTTATTTGTGTGGAATTGAAATATGCACACCTTTATTTTTAAAAGAATTCTTTTGTAACTTATGTAGTACACATGTCTTGAACCTCTCACTAATTTTTCCTAGTTTTTATTCACATGACATGCTTCCACTTTGAATTTAGGATCAATACCTATTTGTAATAAATCACTGATTTATATCACATACGTACATATTCTGTATTTCCGTACACGATAAGTCATGAACTTTTTTTTTTTAGATGGCTGATGAATTTCAATTAATTTAAATAATACATAAAATTTTATTGCTATTATTGTAATGAAAAATGTTAAGAATAAACCACAAAAAAACAAGACGATTAAATTGGTGTATGAATTCTGGCCAAAAATTCGCGAATGAATTAATGATTTTTTTTTTTGCCAAAAGAATGAATTATTTAATTTTGCTTTGCCAATGCCTCTCTGTGGAATAGAGAGACTTGGTGAGGCAACTTCAATTATGGGCCATTATTTATTACTATTTATTTATTTGTTTGTTTGAGGATCCCGTGTTTAATTTATTTTATTAAATTAATAAATATTTGTATTTCTGGGTGCAAGGAAATTTTAAAGTTCTAGATGTACGTGGAAAAAGGTTAAAATGATATGATATAATGTGGAAATAAATAAGAAAATGAGTGGTTGGAATCACTGTCACATGATGTAGTCACTTGGCCATGTTCAAGTTTACAAAGTTTTGGACTTTTGGGAATATTTTCGAGATTACAAATATTTGCATATCGACGACATTTTTTTTTAATAACTTAAAAGTCTCGAGAGATCTTAATATTTTTAAATTCAACAAGTTACTTTCTTTTAATTAAAACACGGACAATTTATTTCATTTGACTTTTTCTTTATACCCTCTTTTCGAAAAAGTCTATGTTTGAGAATTTACAAAGAAATTGAATAGATTACAAATAAAGAAATAAAATAAAAATAGAATTGAAATGAATCAAATGATAAATGATGTGGTATTCAAGTTTTGTTGAGAGTTTAATTTAATAAAAAATAAAAATGTTTAACTTTTTATATATTAACTTCATAATTAATTAAATGCATTTACAATATATTTTTAATTAGAGATATATAATTATAATTATATATCAAAATCATAAGTAATTTGTGCACGTTAATATTTATTTATATGTATAACTGGGATTCGACGGATATCGGGATATGAATGAGAGATTTGTTTACGTAACATGAGTCTATCTTTCAAAAGATATAGACTCAGAAAAAATAAATTAATAAATAAAAGAAGAAGATTTGAAATGTCTTAACATATAAAATAT